GGTTTCCAAGGCAGTTTCCTGGAAAGTGACTTTTCAGGACATACCTGATTGGGTATGTCGGCATACCCAATGGGATGAGCCAAATCTTCAAAATAGTGCATGTTGTTTTGTCCTCCAGATTCTGATTTTGACACCCGAATCAACTCAATACCCGAACGGGTGTTGCCTATACCCAAATGGGTAAATGGATTATTTCTTCAATCTTCTTTTTGTCTTGTCCATTTTCACTTTTCTTGATCTTTTAGGGTCCAATCTTGGTCCTTTGGATGATCTTGACATGTTTTAAGCTCAGAAAAATTCTAATCTAAACAAATTACAACTATCTAGAAAATAAAGTATTTACACCAAAAGTGTGTAACTTTCACAACAACAAACAATGAAACTAATTAAAAATGCAATCATACATAATACAAATATAACAATATCAGTTTAATATAATAAAAAACAAGTTATAGTATACAAATCGACGATCATTGGTGCGCATGCACGGTACTATACTAGTCTCACCTAAAACAACGTGCCAAAAGCAGAAAAAAAAATCGGGATCAAGGAAGTAGTTTTACTAATGTGTTCCTATTATGTTACTAATTTACCATCTTAGAATGCTTGTATTAAGATTTTACAGTAAAATTTTAATACAAACATTCTAACATGGTAAATTAATTAATTAATAACGTAATAGGAATACATTAATACAACTACTTGCTCGATTCTGAATTCTCGTAATCCACAACGAGACCATCAAATTGGAACAGAGAGAGTATGTAAAATGTTTACATATTCCGTATTATTTTAACTAATACATATTTCAAAATTAAATTAGTTTTCAATTTTAAATTTTGGCCATTACAAATCGGAAAACTACAACTACAAAAGTAAAGAATGAGAGTTCAATTGATCAATCATTTGTTATATATTAGGAAAGCTATCAGATAAGCACCGGTAATATATCTAAAGAAGCAATTAAGCCTTCGTATTAAGAGAACACCCAATTGAGTTTATGAATTAATTGAAAACGTCCAAATTATCATTTTAGAGCATCTCCAATGATACAATGTGCACGATGCACATGTGTCATGTGAGATAACCACAAAAAATATTATTAAATAAATTATCTATATTCTTATTTGAATGGTTTAATATAATAAAATATCTAAAAAGTCTCTAAATCCTATTTACCTTCCCAGCCTTTGTTTGTCTTATTAAGGTCTTTTCCCATAAAACAAAAACAAACAAAAAACAGAAAGAATACTTTCCGTATAAACAAAGCCGGCATCCCGGTGGCCTCTGTTACAAGCTTGCCGACCACCTCCTTTCCTTAATTAAAGTTGGCAATAAAAAAAAACTATGGAATAAGGACTAGCTAGAGAGTAATCACGTACTAAGAAGCTTTTAAATATTCGTATAAGCATTACCTAAGATTTAACGGACTATTAAATATTCCAATAAAGTGGTTTTGGTACACCTACTACCTAGGATTTTACTGACTATTAAATTTTTTAATAAAATGATTTTTAAAGAAAACGTATTCCTTGTTATTGTCTTGCATGCATGTTACTATTCGGTGGAGGACCAAGGAAGGGCTGGGGGCAACTGCCCCGCTTCTGACTCTAAAATTTAATACTCCCTCCTCCTGCAATTAAGTTGACATTTTCCTTTTTGGGCAGTCCCTTATTTGCCAAATTATCTACATCAAAACAGTGTCAAACAGTGCAAAAGCAGTGTCCAAACAGTGCAAAACAATGTCCAAACAGTGCAAAACTGTGCACTCCACAGTAAAGTTAAATTTATTTTTTTAATATGTGTGAAGTCAAACCGGGAACTTAATTGAGGGACGGAGGGAGTATTACAACTTATGATAAAAACATGTGCCCCTATTCGAACAAAAAAATACGGAGTAACTATTAGGTATGTATGGGGATATTTCATAGAAGAACATATGACAATTATAGTGGGAAATGTGTATGATCACAGAGTTGTAATGACTTGATTCCTTGCACTTAGGCATGTTGTTAACATGCATGGTCACTATACTTTTTTATAAAGTGACATCGATAATTTTTTTGCTAAGTATGAATAATGGTTTTTCAAAGTTAGAGGTCAAAGATATGACAAAGCCTCTATTATGTTGGATGAGCTTAATGGATTAAAGATTACTATATTAAATAAAAATCATACATGAAAAAAGGCATAGGGTTTGACCGACAAACCCTTTGATTTTTCGTACTGCAATAAGATAAAAGTTCAATCTAAAAAATCATATTATTAACTAAAGTTGTGTTGAAGGATGAAGTAGCAAACTTGAGTCATACTTCATTGTTTGACGCAATATTATTTTATCTGAAACACGTACAAACAAATTTTGGGGAGCAGCGTGTAGCGTTCAACATGATCTTAGTTCAAAATTGTAACCACACTCATTTTATAGTATGAAAAATAAGAGAATTCTAATCCAAACTAGAAACCGTGCAAAGACAAGTCATTTTTATTCCAAAAATGTCTTTCTTTCAGAAAGCCGAAGAGTATTGTTTAGAATTGTTTAATGGGTTCAGAACTAGATCTATAATCCATATATGCATGTATGTCGCTTGAAATGACATTGAATAATTTGTTTCTAATTAAAATTAATAATTTGAAGAACTAGACAGAACAGGTCATTCATACACCCGATCCGATCCGATCCGATCCGATCGGACTCATGTATTCTGCAGTACCCCTGCTTGACAAAACTTATGACCCGTCCCTTACTATTGTTTTAATGGAGTATAATCTTTTTATCATAAAAACAGAATATAAAACGTCTACATTAGAATATATAGGAAATGGCTATATTTTTTGCAATGGTTTATAGCACAAATGAGTTTGACCCGGTTTTTAATGAAATTAAAGGTGGGAAAAAATTACATCAATATTATTATTTTTCAATATTATGATTAATATAATCTTTGTTTAATAAATTAATATACATTCTTTCTACTTCTAATTCCTATCCAACTGCTTACCCCACCATTGTCTTCGGTCACACCGTCCACAGTTGCCTCTCGACCACCTCTGCTGACCGGCTGAAAAGATATGTGAGTAATATGTTTCTATTTTTTCTATTTCTTTAAATTACTCGCAGAAAAAATCCTTAGAAAAATCTCGAAAGTCAAAACTAATGACATGGTTCATGGCGGTGACCGTGAAAATCGGAGTGTCAAAGGTGGCTCCTACCGATAATGAAATAATAAACTGATAGTAACATAAAAAATTGTTGAATTATATGATAAATAGACAATGACATTCATCATTTTCTAATTGTATTAGCTTATTAATCACATTCTTATCCGTACAGAGAAGAAGTCTCATTTTTTGAATTTAACTTGGTTATATGTAAGGGGAAAATCCTATTTTAACTTGGGACTAATGATAATGCACGTTAGACGACAAGGACGAGGTCAGGGGCGGACCCACCCTAGGGTTAGGGGGTGCCCGTGCCCCTGCGGTGATTTACATATATATATATATATATTGGAAAATTCTCAGGTCCAGCACCTCCCGGTCCGAACGGCGTCCGAACACCGCCGTTTGGGGCGGTTACAGGTGGAATTGTTTGATGAATTTTTTTTAGCATGTTCCTCATCAAGTCTAGTTTATCCATACCAAATTTCAGGTCAAAATTCGACCGGGAAGGCAGTCAAATAATTCGTTGAAGTTAACTGCGTTTTTCTATGTATAGTTTGGCGCATTTAACTTCAACGAATTATTTGACTGCCTTCCCGATCTCATTTTAAGCTGAAGTTTGGTATGGATAAACTAGACTTGATGAGGAACATGCTCAAAAAATTTCATCAAAATATTCCGCCGGGAACCGCCCCAAACGCCGGTGTTCGGACGGCATTCGGACAGAAAAGTGCTGGACAGAAAAGTTATGTCGATTGAGACTTATGATGTTAATATTAGAGATGAGTTGAGGAGACGTTATTTGAGAAAATGTCCTTGCCAACCGCGTGACTTTAAATTTCCACAAAGTGATTTTAATGGGTGCAACAGATCATTCCAAAAACAGTGGTTTTATTTAAATTTTATAGTTTTGTTTATTGCTATACTCGTGATGCATATGATTTTTTTTAGACTAGTATATCATTTCTTTGTTATTGTGCCCCTGCGAGTCACGAGTCCTGGTTCCGCCACTGGACGAGGTTATATAAGCAGAAACAATATACGGAGCAAGTTGGTGTGACAAATGACCATTGTTCACTAAATATTTTAATCGAATGAATCTTGTTGATTCATCACCCCAACGTGCTATGTAGATAGCACGCCGGCATGCTCCACAAACTTAATACTCCCTCTTTTTTTAAAATTTTGTTAACTTTTTTTTTGTTAATCTCATTAATTAACTTTGTCAATTTTCTTTTTAATTAAAAAATTTGGTGTTTCGATTAATTCTCTCTCCTCTACACAAACCTGAAATCTACACATCGTTGTTATTTATTCATCTTCGTGCTTGTCAAATTTGTCTGAATTTTAAGGGACGCGCTAATATATATGTAGTACTAACTATGTCCCAAAATATATACTTGGCCATTTGAAAATTCGGGCCATAGTTTTGACTATTATGAACGTTATAAATTTTATACTTTTATAAAAATAGTTTTAACAAAGAATATTTTCATATCATTTTTATATTATAAATAATTTCCAATAAATACATATAGTAAGTAAAAGTTTCGAATTTGAGTAAATATTTTGGGATGGGTAGTACTCCCTCCGTCCCGGTTGAATCTTGACGTTTGCTTTTGACACAGTATTTTAGGAGTACAATTAATAGAACAACAAATGTATTGCATGCCCTTTGACTTTTGGGGATAATTAATGTTATCCACTCAAATATAAAAAGTTAACGGTTAATGAAGGATAATTAAGACATTTAATGTTAAAGAAGTTACCTAAAAAAGAAAAGTACGAATAATGGGACATTCCAAAAACGAAAGTATAAAGATTTAAATGGAAGTTTGGGGTATATATAAGATGGTATAGTGCAACATGAATGTGTCACGGATACGGCCTAAACCACAGTACATTAAAGCAACAGAAATATATGGCGGCCACGGCGACGGAGTCCGGCCGTCGGCAACTCCATTTCATGGTGTTCCCGATGATGGCCCCGGGACACATGATCCCCATGATAGACGTGGCGAGGATTTTAGCCCGGTCTGACAGCGGCGTCACCGTTACCATCTTCACCACGCCGGTCAATGCAAACAGGTTCCGGTCAACGCTCGACCAGGACCGGCGATCCGGGTTCAAAATCCGGGAGCACGTGGTCCGGTTTCCGTGCGCAGAGACCGGGCTGCCGGAGGGGTGCGAGAATGCGGACATGGTACCCAAGGGTCAAAACCTCGACTCCGCCTTCATGGTCGCCATCTGGATGCTGAAGCCACAGGCGGAAGAGGCGATTCGCGGCAGCAAACCGCCGGTGACCTGCATAGTTTCGGACATGGTAATGCAGTGGACGGCGGACTTAGCGGAGAGGATGAACATCCCAAGAATCGTGTTCAACGGGTCGTGCTGCTTCTCCTTCGTCTGCTCGACTAAGATCATGGAGTCCAATATTCTGGGGAGGGTGGCGTCGGAGACAGAGATGTTCACCGTCGCCGGGCTTCCCCCGCCGTACGACGAGAAGATTCAGCTTTGCAAAGCTCAGGTGAAGGGGTGCGTGGTGGACCCGAATGAAATCAAAACCGAGGCCCAGAAAGAGATGGGGGAAAAGCTGATGCAGGCGATTACTTCGGCCTATGGCGTGATCGTGAACAGCTTCTCGGAGATGGAGCCGGAATTTGAGGAAGAGTATAAGAGGAAGTTCCACCATGGGAGAGTGTGGTGCGTCGGCCCTGTTTCCTTGAGCACTCACCGATCCGTCCAGGTACTTCCTACCTACTTTTCACCGACTACCTCTTCTGCATTTCATCTTCTCCATTGAGTTGCAACTGCTGCATGTTGTTGTAACAAACGTTGCTTTATTGGGATAAAGACTTAGACAGGACTAAAACAAACGCCTATACTTTATTTATTCTCAAAAATCAAAGTTTTATTTATAATAAAAACATAAAAAATCGTAAAAAAAAACTAAAAACTAATAAAAATTCGAGAAAAAATACAATAGAATAAAATAAAAAATAAAAAATAAAAAATAATAAAAAATAAAAAATATTTAAAAAAACTTAAAAATATATTTAAAAATAAAATAAAATCACTAACAAAATATTAAAAAATATGTAGGCCACTACCTCCGCATCCCCCACCTCCCAGCACCACCACCTCCGATCACCGAAGAAAAAAATGTCTCTCTCTCGGGGACTTTTTTAAAGAGGAACCTCGTGTGAATACCATGCAATTGGCACTTTTTTTATTTTAATTGGAAGCAGTTACTAATTCATGAGCTAGGGGATATACAGAATGAAAACTTCATTTTATAAAAAAGAGATCTTGTGTAAAAAATGTCACATTTCTCTAAAAATGTCATGAAGATGGCATTTTTAGTCTTTCAAAATATTCAGCTTTCTTTCCAAAATTGCCAACATGATGACATTTTTTCCTACTTGGCAATCTTTTCCGGTGATCGGAGGTGGCGGTGCTGGAAGGTGGCTGAGGTGGTGGTTGAGGTCTGTATATTTTGTATTTATTTATTTCGATTTTTTATTTTATTTTTTTTATGTTTTATAATGATTATTTAAAAAACCCTATTAGGAAGAACAAGGGAAAAGGTAGAATATGAAGAGTTAGTACTATTTTGGAAATTTAAACATTAAACTCCAATTGTTGCAATTATCCTTTCATTTAGTCCTATTTAGGTAAATCTCCCAAAATCTAAATAGGACTTATCACTTTTTATATTCTAAATATGACCAAATTTGGACGGAGAGACAAAATACCCTTAGGTGTATTCGTACAGCAGCTGTCAACACAAATATCCACTCATGTTTTGGTGTTGTTTTAGTTTCCAATTTCTTAGTTTATTTTTGGAATTCAATTTCTCACTATAGAAAAATCAATTTCTTAGTTATTACTTTTACCTTTTCGATTTTATTATTTTACTTTTCAGATTGAACTTAATTTTCTAAAAACTACGTAGTATTTCATAGAAAACACATGGTGACATTATTTACTATAAAAATAGAGCCAATCCCAATAGAAAATGTTATTGTTATAAAAAAATATCAATGTAAAAAAAGTAATATCATCAAACAATGATACAGTGTCAAAAAAATGTCAGCTTGATCAAACATGTTGACAATGTCATTATATGATCGCCAATGTATAATGTCGTCACTCGTCATTGTTTAAAAATTAGTGTCATTGAATGACAATGTATTATAATGACATTGTTTAAACATCAATGTCATTATATATGACAATGTAAACTAATGTTATTCTTTAATATTTAATGTCATTGTTCAAAAATTAGTGTCAATGTTTAAAAACCAATGACATTATATGATAATATAATATAATATCATTTTTTACGTCATTGTTTAAAAATCAATGTTATTGTGGATCGTTGCGTTTACCGCTACACAAAAAGCAATTGGTGATAGTGTAACACGCTTCTTTCCCTTTATAGCACAAGCGAAGCGCCACGTTTCTTTACCCCTTTACACCGGCAGGCTGGCAGATTGCTGACACCGCCTACCCGCGGCCTACGGCCCAACAATCTCCCCCCTAGCACCTGCCAGCCTTTAGCTGATGCTGTCGTCGAGGGTCGAACCCGTGACATTGGCTCTGATACCACTTGCGGATCGTTGCGCTTACAGCTATACTAAAAGCAATTGCTGATAGTGTAGCACGCTTCTTTCCCTTTATAGCACAAGCGAAGCGCCACGTTTCTTTATCCCTTTATACCAACAGGCTGGCAGATTGCTGGCACCGCCTACCCGCGGCCTATGGCCCAACAGTCATTGTATGATAATGTAATATAATGTTATTGTTCAAAAATCAATGTCATCGTTTAAACATCAATGTCATTAAATGGCGATGTAATATAGTGCAATTGCTTTAAAATCAATGTCCTATTGAAAAATATGGCTTATCTAGAAAGGCACAAATTGATAAAGAGGATTGCTCCTTTAGCTTTCAAATGCTCGGTCAAATAAGAAATTCAAAATATAAAATAAGTATATATAAGACTCCCTCCACCTTACATATGTCCTGCGAAAAGCATAAAAAGGTATGAAAAGAGAAAAAAACATCTAAAACTGCCTGAGTAGCAGGAGTTAGCACCGGGAAAACACCACCGCCTCATCATCTTCACTTTTTTAATTCCGTCATTGCGCCAGAGTAGTCGCCGCCGCCACAACAGCCTCTGCCGCCGCAATCTCCGTCACGGATAGCCCGGTCCGCGCCAGAGAAAAGAGGAGCAGCGATGAGAAGCTTGTTGCACTTCTATTATGTCGCGAAAGGAATAGATCTAAGCAGAATGGGAGAAAATAAGAAACGAAGTGGGACGGCATGGGGAATGGGAGAACAGAGTACGGAAAGAGAAATTGAAGTGCGGAACATGAAATAAGGTTGAGAAATTGAACATAGTACGGCATGGGTGTATGGGTCTACTGTTGCTGATTGAATCATCATGACTAAGCTCCACACCATTCTGTCGAGTCGGAGTGGGAGCTCCTGGGTGGGAGATTCTACCTTTTTTGGATCAATAAATAAAAAGGAGATCATTTTTCAGTTTAAGAGACTATTACAACCGTACTAATTAATGTAATTTCACCTCAATAACTAGTACTACAGTAACACCACAGTGACCATAAATCTCTTAGTGATCATCAGACCAGTAACCACCTCGCCGTTGTCCAGTTCAGTAACCACCGCACAGCCTGTCATCGCTAGTGACCACCACAACGTCCCGTCACCGCTCGTGACCACCACATCGCGTATACAATGATGACCACCATCCCTAGACCCCATCAAACCCATACCCAACCATAGCAACCGTCAAAATCCCCGACCAACCCCATCCCTGGTCCCCGTCACAATCCCCGGACAATCTCAACCCCAACCCGGCCTCGCCACTGCAACCAACCTTTTGGATATGGATCTCAAATCGATGAAGCGGTGGTCGAACATCATTGCCACCGAATGATGTCTTTAGTGGACTGTCGTCGTCTTCCATCGACTGCCATCGCCGATCGTTCTAGGTCACAGTTGTGCACCGACTGCTTGTGGAGCTTTAATCCAACATCCTGACGTAAGGCAAAAGGAGATGGAAATGCAGGCAAGCGGCCGAACAGCGATGGTGGCGAGCGATGAAGGTGCGGATCTGCATTGACGGTGAGTGTTGAAGGTGTGATTTGCGGTGCTTCAGGCGACATCGTGTTTCTGCAGCGGCAATGTGATTGGAAAGCTATAGAAGAAACAAAAATGAGGCAACATGTAGGAGGAGCCAGTATAGCCTCACGGAGCGACAACAATGGAAGAGTTTGAAGATGGGGGACACTTAGTGATTGAAGCGAACCGGCGAGAATGAAAGAGAAAGGGGTAAAATTAGATTTAGTTGATCTCTTTTTTGTCCAGTTTTAAATATGGTTTTATTCGTGTCCATTACAAAGCAGGTTGTATTATTTATGTCACTCTTTCTCAATAAAAATGATGCAAAAAAAATTTCCACTAGAAATTGAATCATTTAACCCATCAAAAACTAATATCAAATGTCAAATAAGTGAGTTCATTTGGAAATGGCTTTTATTTTATGATTTAATGTCAACTTTTGATGTATATTCAAAGAACTGTATTATTAAAAGGAGTTTCCAAATATTTTTTACTGATTTATAGTTACACTCCGTGGTTGATACTTTATGTAAAGTTATTTTTTCTGAAAGAAATGATGAGTTTATATATCCTAAACACCAGGATGAGCAGCCGTTGGAAGAAGGCAACGCGGTGATTAAGAAGAATGAGAGTGGGGAAGAGAAGGAGCCGTGCTTGAAATGGCTCAACTCGCAAGCGCCGGGATCGACAATATACGTCTCCCTGGGAAGCTTGGTGAGGCTCACGGTAGAGCAAATGATGGAGCTGGCTTTGGGGTTAGAGCTATCGGGGCGGCCCTTCATTTGGGCGCTGGGGAGGGCAGACGAGCAGCTTGAAGCATTTGAGGAGTGGGTGTTGGCTGATGGGTTCGAGGAGAGGACCAGAGGGAGAGGGGCACTGGTTCGCGGGTGGGCCCCGCAGCTGCGCATTCTCTCCCACCCTTCCATCGGAGGGTTCTTGACGCACTGCGGGTGGAACTCCACGCTGGAAGCCATCTCGGCCGGAGTGCCAATGCTAACGTGGCCGATATTCGCGGAGCAATTTGTGAACGAGAAGCTGGTGGTGGACGTGTTGGGGGTCGGGGTCAGCCTCGGGGTGAAGACGTCGGCTCTTTGGGAAGGGAAGGAGACGGCAGGGAGCGGAGTGGTGGTGAAGAGGGATGAGGTCAAAGAAGCAGTTGGTCAACTCATGGAAGGAGATGGGGAAGAGTGCCGGAGGAAAGTAAAAGAGCTTGGGGGAAAGGCCAAAACGGCGGTTCAGAAAGGTGGTTCCTCCCATCTCAACTTGATTTCTTTGATAGAAGACATTTCCTTATTTGGCTCTACAATATTATGAGATCCCGCGTAATGTTATTTCAATAAATCTCGTTTTGAGACATCGATCATAGACATTCTTTATTTAGAATAAGGGTATTACATGCTTCGGTATTACATGCTTAGGGTGGCCACAGTTCGGGACAGTCCGAGTTTTGACTTATCCCGATCTCGACCCGACTTTATAATAACGGTTCGGTACGAATAGGGATGGACCCGGGTCGGGCCCGGGCGGGCTTTTTTTGTTAAATGTTGGGCCCGGAACCGGCCCGGGTTGATACCGGGGCCGGGCCTAACCCGGCCGGACCCGGGTCAAGTTCAATTTTTTTTTTTTCTAATTAACACCCGACCCCCCCCCCCTTCACCCCCGACCCCCAACCCCGACCCCCCCCCCCCCCAAAACACTCAACCCTAACCTAGAAAAGCAAAAAAATTGAACCGGCCAACCGGTCCCAATCCGAGCCCGACCCGCCCAAACGGGCTAAAAGCCCGGAACCGGCCAACCGGTCCCAATCCGGTCCGGGCCCAAACAGTAACGGGCCGGGCCGGTTCCGGGTCGGGTCGGGCCGGTTTAGTCCATCCCTAGGTACGAATCAAGATAAGCCTTTATCCTAATGTCATCTCGTTTAAATCTGATATTTTCAGTTTTAGTGTCTATTTGCAATTAATTAATGTTGAAAATTTGTAAATTTGTAATTAATTAATGTTGAAAGCTACTTTCTAAAAAAACAACCTATTGTAAATTTGTAATTAATTAATGCAAAAAGCTACTTTCTAAGAAAGATATTTTATTTTAAAAATTCTTAACAATCAAACTATAACTATAACTTTTTAGAAGATTTAAATAATACAAAAGCTATAGGTAAAAGTACAGAAAGTGTACATGTGATTTGGGCCATTTTCAAATAGGGGCACATGTTTCATTTTTTAAGAAAGTGAGACATGTGTTTCAATTCCATTATCACAATTGAGGCATGGCGTCTAACTCCCTTAGAAATATGAAATCTGGATTTCTAGTCTCCGAAAAATAAAATAAAAATATTGGAATTTGAGTCTCGTCAAGGAGACCAACAAACTATTGTTCTCTTTGGATTTTTCGGCTCTATTTGAATTATTTTGTAAAACGAATTCGCTAATATCACTTTTTCGATAGACTATCTGACAACAAAGTGGTTGTAAACAAAAAAAAAAGAAAGATGGTCTGAAGGTCTTCTTGATGAGACGACCTCTTAATATTTTTCTTTTAATTTTTCAGAGATTTGAAAATCGAAGTTCATTTTTCTAACGACGTTAGAGACCATGCCCCCAAACTTTTTAAAAGCGAAAAGCGTCCAAAAGCGATGACCTTGGACTTTGCTTAAAAGCGAAAGCGCTAAGCGTAGCTTTCTCACAAAAAGCGATGCTTATAAAATATTAAAAAAATAATATATATAATGTATAATTAAGCCAAAAATGCATAAGTAGTGTTTCTCCCCTGAGGATCTTGACTTTTAGATTGTTCTCTAGACATTTTGTCTACAGTTTACATATACATATTTCACAAATATATAATCAAGCAAGTGTAAATGAACTGTACAATTTAATTAATCAATAAACTTAGTGGAATAAACTGAAAATTAATAAATCAATAAACTGAAAGTAGTAGACTTGAATAAACTAAAAATTAATTAATCAATAACATGAAAGGAATAAAGTGGAAAAAACTAAAAATTAATTAACCAATAAACCGAAAGGAATAAACTAAAAATTTATTAATCAATAAAATGAAAGGAAAAAACTGGAATAAACTAAAAACTAATTAATCAATAAACTGAAATGAATAAACTAAAATTTAATTTAGTGGAGTAAACTGGGGTTGATAAATTAATTATGTAACTAGCTAAAGAGTGAAGAACGATGTTTAAGGCTGAAAGGTGTTTCAAAAAAAACAGAGCAAAAGGCTAAAGTCTCTGTAGTCTGTAATAAGACTGAAAGTTTTCAAATTAAAAAAAACAGAGTAAACCTGAAGAGTGAAGACTGAAGAACGATGTTTACGCGAAAGAGATTGTGCGGCTCACAAGCGAGTTGGAGATTTCTAGCCCAAAAGAAGTCTGGGCGAACTCCAAACCTGCGGCTTCATCACCTACGACTTCTTCACTTGCGACTTCTTCACTTGCGACGTTGTCTGGTGCGTGGAAAGAATCGAACGAACATAACCCTAATTTCTAGCGTGAGGCCGATAACACTTAAAACTTAAAAAAAAAATTGACCTTCGCTTTTTGTGAAAAGCTCAGAAAAACGGTCGCTTAATTGAAAAGCGAGCTCACGAAAAGCGAAGGAAAAGCGGAGCTTTCTCACGGCGAGTCGCTTCCCAAAAGCCAGGCGGGGAACCGGCGCTCGCCTGCGCTTTGGCGCTTAAGCGCGCTTTTGAGCGCTTTTAACAAGTTTGCATGCCCCAGCTGTGATAACGGAATTGAAACACATGTCTCACTTTGTTAAAAAATGAAACACATGCCCCTATGCTCAACCACATATACTTTTCAAAAGAGGACTTACACAGAGTATGAGACACTGGGATGATTTGAGATTATATGAGACTTTACTTTTAGACGTTTAGTAGTTCAGAGTAGGCTTGGACTCGGGTCGGGCCACCCGGCCCGTGGACCGGCCCGGCCCGCTACTGTACGGAACCGGGACCGGTCCGGTTCTCGGGTCCGGGTGCGGGTCGGGCCTAGGCCCGGGGGGTAGGGCGGGTCCGGGCTCGGGTCTCAATTTTGGTGAACCGGCCCGGCCGGGTGCCAAAACCGGAAAAACATAATTTACTATGTTACTAATTTACTAATTTACTATCTTCCAGACAAAAAAATTACATTAAAACCACTAAAGATAACATCAACCAACTACGTAAGCCTAAAGTTAAATAAAATGACAAGTATCAGATAAAGAAATGGACAAAAATAAGTTAGAGGCACGACAGCTGTTAAATCTAAACTAAAGCATTGAACCTTTTCGAGTTTTACAACCCTAACAACCTGAGGTCTGCAAAACCTTCTACATCACAACTTTTAAGTTTGTGTGTCTTCCACTCAAATACTTGCGACAATACCTGTACAGTTTATGCCACATGCTGAAGACAACCCTCATGTAGTCATGTCGCATATCAGAAGTTCCACCGGTCTAGTTGGGTCTTGGCTTCCGCCATGTCTTTTTGAGCCTTCTTCCTCCGATAAAAGATTGGGCAATCTCGACTGCAATGACAAAATTAACCATTTAGAGTAGGGTCTCCCGAAAATTGAAAAAATAATGTGTTGTGCTGTTTACAGTGGAAAACATATGATCTTGAAGATAATACTTGGATATAATGCCATGAATGGAGCACAGGTAGTGAAACAAATAAGTAATAAGTATAACTTTGAAGAATATCAACCTAGTACACAACACATCCTGGTGAAGGGAGCCTTGACACTCTTGACACTGGGTCCACAACCGCCCAAAAAGCTTCTCCAGATCAGCCACTACAGTTGGTTCAGTTAATAAACTGTTAAATAACCTAAACAGATTTCCAGCATATTTCACTGCACAAAATAGGTTTTGTCGTGCAAAAATAGTAAGCCATCCATACCATTGGCGACTGATTTGCAATAAAGTTCAGCTTCCCTTCCCTTGCAGTGTTTGCAGAGAGTCCGATCAGATTCACTGGTAAAATGCACAACAATTAAGTAGTCAACTAACCCTTCTACTTTCTACAGTGAAAAAAACTTAAAATCTGTTCATTGAGACTAAAATTTACTGATCTGTTTTACTGTTTAAGTATGGGTTGGTATTATGTGTATTTCAAAATTATTTAAGTATGGTCTGATCTGGTCTGTTTAAACATGTTGTGGCTTGTTCTTTTTAAGCTTGGTCTAGTCTGGTCTCTTCAAGTGTAGTTTGGAGCTGAAATAATCAAATATGTCCAAGTGAACAGGTCCTTATACAACCGGAAATAGATTATATGATCAAGAAAGCTAAACTGCCAGAAGCAAGGAAATCTAATGATCACCATCCAGGGAGGTTGAAGGATATTGTTCACCAAACTAATGATCCTTGTCATTGTTGAAAGATACCTAATTAGTGCTTTGCAGCCAAGGCAAGTTAATTGTTTTTTGGCAAATTTCATTATTCCACTGTTGGAAGGAGTAGAAATGGAGATCGATCTGGTATGGCTTCCTTGCAGCAGCTCTTTACTGGCATTCTTCAAGATGGGCTCAAAAATCCTTAAAAGTGGCTGCACCAAGTCCAAAATCATCAAATAGCTTAAATTTTGAGTAGAGTAAAATTACTTATGTGGCCAACTTACCTTGCTAATCTGATTCTCAAGATAGTAATGTGGATCTATTGGGATGTTGTTTTCCAAGACATATATAGGATCCTCTGACTTTTCATAAGCCTGTATCTCACAAATTAAGCATGATTAAAACCAATGCCAGGGAGAATGTTGAACACTTGAATGAACTCTAGTACTAAATTACTTGGATCAATTACCTTAGCTCCTTTAGCGCCTTTAATAATGACATAAGGTACTCTATCACCCATAGTTGGAGCAGTAGCAGCATCTCGCTGTTAACCAAAATTTTCGACCAATGTCACATTCACACAGCTAAAAAAGTATGATGAAGGGGAGTAATGCCAAAAAAGGATTGATGAAGAAGCTCAAATTGCAGACTTCTCAGTCAAATATGTTCCTTCCAAGGTTTCTAGTCATGATTTCCCTAGCTGGTTGGTGTTCTCATATATGCAAGTCTTTTAGTTTTTTATACTAGTATTATGCACCCATGTTTTAGGTGCAAGTGTGTAACTAGCAGCAGCACTGCCAGCACATATAGAAGCTCAGCAAGAGATACAAAGCAATGATATTCAGCTATAAAATCCAAAGGTTATTCTACTGGTAAATATACAACCAGAAGTCTCGTGCAAACTTATTATACAATGCTAAATGTTCAGAAAATCAGAAGTCATAATAAACTGGGGCAATGAAACATTTTAATTAAAAATAGCTAAATGTTATTCCATTAGGTTAGGACGGGCCAAAGGTTACCATATATTTGAAGCAATATAATATTATAGCGTACACAATATTTAGATGTTAACAATAACAAGGTAAACAAAAACTGTGACAAATACTCAAAATACTTAGAAGTCTACAATAACTATTTAAAACCAAAATCAGAAAAGCATCCCTATTTCAAGCAGATTTAGATTCACCTGATGTCCAAAACATTGAATTTTGATCACTATGGAGAGAAAAAGGAGCAAAAAAGCAAGATAGGGGGGGGGGGGGGGGGGGGGGGGGCAATCATCTATTTACATTTGAATTAATGACCAAGTACAAGAATTACACCTAACCTTGCGCATCCGCTCTGCAAGTTCAACATGAGCTGTCTTCACTTCATAATCTTCTCCTGTTTTTGTAAGGCCCTTTTAAATACAAAATGTGCAATTAATGTCAAAGGTAAACAGTAGCTTCTACGCAGTGTAATATATATGTGTGCTTATGAGTTATGACCTAGTTTGCTTGAGGGAAAATGCATTTACCTTGGTAATAACGAGAAGAGACAAATCCATGCGATTCATTAGAAGATCAGAAATAGTATTTTTA